GGCGAACTTTTCCCTTTCATTGCCGTCAAAAATCGTTTGAATTGTTCAATTTATTTTCTATCATGCAGAATGCGAAGCTGGCTCATATTTGAAGCCTGCACGTGGTTGGTCCTACCTCGAATCCTATAGAAAAAATCAAGCTCTTTTACTACTTACAATGGGATGCAAAATCTTGAAAATACCCGCCTGGAGAGAAAAAATGTCATTGCAAAAAGAAGAAAAATACGACGAAAAACAAAAAATTTTGAAACTCGGCGCGTAAAATTGGCATTTGAGCTGAAGAAAAAAACGGTTGGTTTCCGGGAAAATCTCATGTTTGAATTTTTTAAAAGCTCAACACGTCATTCGGAGTGAGAAAATCAGTCCTATACGTTGCCAACTTCTTGGTTAGAGTAAAAAGCTGCATTCACTTTTAATTTCACTTGTAAAACACCCCGAAGAATTTAGATAAACTTCAGCATTACAGTATTCTTCGAAAAAATGTTCGAATCTAATGGACATTGCCGATGCAGAAAAATTACCGTCCAGCGAATCAAACGAATAATTGAAGTGCTGGGATACAGTCGATTTCTGGAACGAAGTTTAAAAAAATTAAATTCAGAAAATGATTATCGCATGTCAGTCCAAGGTATCAGAAAAATTCAGCCTTAGAGGAAACTCTCAAAACATTCCGAATTTTCGTGTTTCTCCGAAATCTTCAAAAATAATTCGCGCATTGCAAGGCAAAAAATTGCGTTTCCGGGCTTTTAACCACCAATTGCTAAAAGATAATTGCGCCGCAATAAAAAATAATTATGAGAAAATGTGGTCGAGGACTCATCCTGCTAAATTGTTTGGAGCTGTGAAAGTAAACATGATCTCAAGATGTATTCCAGCAGGTTTTGGTCCAGTGCGTTATGTGACGAGAATCCTTCATTCGATGGGGGATGAGTAAATTTGGGTTAGAAAATTCCCTGGGGCCAAATTTCAATACTGCGGTGAACTTCATCGAAGGAAATGTTTTTATGATTCACGGGTCAAAGATATGAATTCTGTTCTCACTTGGGGGACTTCCCGAGATGGAACAAAATTTCTGACGTATTTTCTTCAATTCTCTTGAGGCTGATGGAAGAAATCCTTCTTATTTTTCCATGCAGTTCTTCGTACAGTGTATTTCTGAACATATGCGGTTGTTTGCTGTACAATCATTCAAGCGTGAGTTCATTTTCTAATACAATATTTGATCAAATTTGATCGCAAGCAGTGCGTATCAATATTTGACGACTGTTGAGTGTTCTCGGGAATGGCATTGCTAGGATGATGATTTAAAGTTGATTTCGAGCAATGGGAAGTCAATGGTTTATTACGTGAAAGCTGAAGATCCGGAAAATGGAGTGATTTCTTTCGCTTTGATGATTTGTTCATGATGCAAACGGGGATTTTTCAATCACCGTTCGTGTGATTTCCGTGAATCCTGCACGAGTGAAAGCGAGCGAAGATTTTCCCACAAATCTTATAAATCATTCAACAATCATCGTTGTGGTCAGACGAAGCATAGAATGATATTTTGAGAAATGTGTCCTCCTTTTGTAGAGGGAAGGCATCTCGTCATCTTTTACACGTGGAACAAATCAATTTGTGAAACATTTACTGCGATAAGAGAATTTCCTGAAGAAAAAAAAACAACGTGGGCGTTAATTTCTCGACGATTTCCTGAATCAAATCTGTAAAAACTTTATGGTGTGACAGCTGCGCATCTGCAATTTTTTTTTTAGCTGTAACTGCAAATTTTAAATCAAACCCCGTTTCGGTTCTTCTCAAAATTGATTTACTGGTGAAATTTTCGTGTCTCCTAATAATGCATGCAGCTGTTCAAATTTTCTGGCAACCACTGGGGTTATAAAAAAGAAGAAACACGTCACGAATACCTAAGCGTGGGCTAAAATTACGTACACAGTATATGTAACTGAAATCCCAACTTCATGTACGATATCGTATTGGCATGTCCTTTTAATGGCGTGAATTACAGGTACAGACGTATATCTAATTGAACCTTTTCAAAAATATACCTTTCTGTTCTTCCTGTAATATCGGTGATTCGCAGGATTCGTAAAAACTCTCGCAAGCATGAAAACGCTCTGATCTCTGACGTTGAAAATTTGAAACCGTGTTCGTTATTTTCCGTTAAAATTAAAAAAATCATTGATCTAGTAGCTACGAAGAGTATTCCAGAGTATTCTTTTCCCACCTCTATTCATTGATGTCTAATTATAAGCGCTTGATATATTCTTGGATTATTGCTTCTGTGATGCGAAGACGTTGTTCAATTATGGCAGGCTTCACTCAGAACCGCGTAATTATGTGCCCGGGTCGTTTCTAAGTAAATTAAACGCAATTCGCGCGATTTTGTTTCCCGGCTTGTTTTGATGGATCTGCAGGCTTTTGATTGAACGTTGCGGTTCGGGTTCAGTAGAAGAAAATCAATTTTTCTAAATAAATGTGCAAAAGACTCAGAACTTCCCTGGGGGGAATGACGGGAACGGATCCGGACGCCTCTTAGAACTTGTGATCGAAAGAGTCGATGCTAACCTAATAAACTCGGAGAATAACAGCCCTTTCGGAAGGATGATTCGTCATCCGATAACACGAATAATTGAATGATATGAAATGCCGTCACAGTCATGTTTTTATCGATATAAATGCACGATGCAGGAAGAAAAATGGCTGGCGTCGTATTGCTTATTGTCATGTTTTGGGACCTGTTCCCTCGGGACTACTTTTCAATCTTGCAAGAATACCGGCGAATAAAAGATTGCCATCAATTAGATAAGTGCTGTGGGGCCTTCACAGTTGCTTCTTTGTCCTGAAAAAAAAAACGGCCAAGTTTGTTTTCCCTCCAATGTTGTCCAATTGTTTTGCTTTTTAGGAGTGAATCCTTTTTCTCCAGGGATTTTTTCGTGTGAATGTAATCCTGAAAATGGTTAAATCAGTATTTCTCAATAAGACGTGGTCCGCGGACCGGCGCCGGTCCGCAGAAGATTTTTGCGGGTCCACGATAAATTTTCTTCGGCATGATGAATTTATCAGACGTAGCAATGAAGTCTGTTATCTTTATCCAAAATTGTGCAAAGACAATCGCAGAGTTGAAATTATGTGATGAAGAAATTATACTTGGATTTTCTCCCAACTAGCACTTCGGACAAATTTTAGCATTCTGCAGTAATTTATTTTAATTTTTTCATCCCTGAGAAACCTTTCTAGCAGCCCACCTTTATAATTTTTTGGAAGACATTTCCGTATATAGCTGTGTTTAATTATTCATTTGTGTTTAATTATTCACAAAACAGCAAAACATTTTCTAATGCCTGCCATAAACTCTGAGAAGCAGAAATGTTTTGATTCTGCAAAAGATCTATGAAACTTTGCCGGTCCGTGGTCCAAAAACGTTAGGGAACACTGGTTTGAATCTAACCAACTGCTCTTTTCCCGAAGTTAACCAAAATTCGAAGATCGCAGTTGATTTTTGAAGTTTTTCACCTGTTAACATCATTAAAGAAAATCTTTCGTAGAGCAAAGACAAATGAGCGATTTTCTCGCGATCTAAAATTTTATAATGCCCTTTCGAACGGCTTCAATGATGAATTGTCGGATTCGAAATATTTGGTGTCAAATATAATAGCAGAAAAATCCGTACATTATTGAGATTTGACGCAAGAAAGGTTTGTTCTGAATTCCAAGGACTGTTTTTTGTCAATGAATGCATACACTTCACTGAAAATACTCGAATTTTTTGAGAACTTTTTGGGTGTAATATAGTTTTCTTTCAGAAGTTTGCATTGGGTTTCTGGAAACTTGGAAACCGGGCTACAAACAGAATATAATGTACTGTAGTTTCAAGCTCTCGAATGTTTTTTTTCGCGGGATTTGGGGGAGGGAGGGGGGAGAGGAATGAAATCATGAAAAAGTATCTCAAGTCGAGCAGGGAAAAAAGTTTAAAACAACGAGAAAACCTGCTCACTCATGGAGCCCCAGTGCTTTGAACTTGTTTGTCACAAAACTGTTATAGTTCAAAGAGTCTTTGAAGTAACCAAACTTATTTTTGTTGTGGGCCAATAAAAGCGCTGAAGAACCTTAAATAGCGCTATCTCCGAATGAATTATGACCAGGAAAAATAGCTACGCTCTGGCATCAATTTATCACAAAGAAACCGTGACCAGAAGTGATTTGATGTCCATTGGTCAAGCGAACATGAAACACAATATACAGTACTGTAGTCTCACGAGAGATTGTTTCATCGAGTGATTCATGATCATTTCTCGTGTAACTTTGTTTCCTTAGACTCCCGTATTATTATATATGCAATTTTTATCTCACGAATTTCGAGTACAGTATTTTGATGAATCTTGGGATAATGATGATACGTGCTTTTTTTCACGCCTAGACGTTCGGCAATTTAAGACCCTTGTTGGGCGAGGCAATACTGAAATTGTCTTGTTTAATTTAATCATTGGATAAGGTTTACATTTAGAATTTCAACCTGTTGAAGCATACAAATACTGTACTTTTAATGTTACACAAAAACTCGAGAATCCTTAAGCCCTGCTTCACACAGGAAAGTTGCAGTCTTCCGTTTTGTCGACCGGCTATTTTATTACGGTTCAGTTGCTTTTTCCTCGGAAATGCTCAGAACACTTCTGAAGAAGGCATTTGAATTTTGTTTGCCGGCAGTCAAGAAAAAACAAACTTTTTAACGAGGCCAAAACTTTAAAAATGGCAGCAGGGAGACAAAACCTGGATTCCACGAACTCCAACTTGAGCCAATATTTGCGTAATGAGCGATACTTTTTTCATCGGAAGAAAAAGGTTTTTTTCAGATGGTTTCCTCTCCGTTATTTGGCTCTTGATCATTTGTATTTAATTATTTACTTTTCAAGTAAGAATCTTTGGGAAAGTTACTTTTGAGGCCATTTCTGGGAGTCATGCTTGAGTCGAATATCCCCGCAAATATGTTACAGAGCTGTTTGTTCATTTACCTTGTATTGGTTTGAGCCTTGGGTGATAGATTTTCCATCCTCTGGATCCCACGTCAAGGGACAATCGTGGAAAGTTGTTAGTCCAAGGAATTTCGCCAATTTCCCTTTTTTACATTGGCAGTATTCTACGACGTTGATTCCTCGGCTGTTGGCTTGAACGTGAGCACATGCTGCTCCTCTTGGACAGGTTGGCAAGCTTTCCTAATTCACATGAACGGAAATACGATTTTAAAAAGGCCATTGAAATCGCAGAGAAATCCTACTTCAAATACTGTATCTCCGAAGAAATTCTAAAAATCTATCTCAATTCCTTTTTTAATAGACATAAAAAACTCATGTACAATATTTTATTAAAGAAAATTATACTACCTTTGCGAGAGAAGTACTTTTAAAATTGAAAAATCGAATATTGTGGTGATCTGACTTCGAAAATCATGGATTGACTAAATGAATATCTGACCCAAGAACGATCCTTGATTTTTTCGAAAAATTGCGTGAAAATGATTTCGCTTTTCGAAAGAACTGAGTTATTTTTATGTAAAATTTTTAAAACGCAATGTCTATTTTCGAGTCAAAATCTAGACGAAAGAAAATTCTTTAGGTTGAAAGATGCATTAATTTTTTGCCCTAATTCTCCCAATCTACAACGATTCTGTCTACAAACGATTTTCTCTGTACAACAACTTCATTTTGGTTTCGTAGGCTTCTCTCCCCATGTTATAGGTGTTCTCTACAACGACATTTTCTCGTCCCGTGAATTTCGTTGTAGAGGGAGTCCACCAGTATTCACGCTAATTCTTAATAATGAGTATGAAAAAAGGCATTAATTACCTCCTCCTCGTCGCCGATGGCTGAAGCGACTTCGTTCGTGAGTACCAGTTCTTCGACTGAGTGGTGAGCAGGTTTTGTGAACTCACTACTGGACGCAAAAACTGCGGGCAAAGCAATCGCGAAAATGGCAACGAAGAACGACGCGATGGTCGATTTTGGAATTGCCGGATCAAACATCTTTTTGCCGCTTATGTCTTGGCTCCCTGTTCTGTGTGACCCACGGATATGAGTTTATCATTGAACAGGATTACATCACTTTTTCATTGCGAAAAATGCGTGGGCGGTTAAAAAAATAGATTGAAAATCACTCGAAAAATGCCTCAAATTTAATATCTTGCTGAACTCGCGTTCATGTCTAGTGATAGGTTTGAATTTAGAATTTTTTTTATATTGTGAATGTTAAATGAAATTATTAAGGACCAATTTTCAACGCAGGAAAGCCTTGGGATCAGATTATGCTCTTCGGATTTTTTGGATGATCTTCTATAAAAAAACAAAATAAAAAGTGTTACAGCGACTTTTTTTCAAGGAATGCCGATTTATTTTGAAAAGCAGGACCTCGTCCCAAGCGTCTTGTTCGTTTTTTACCCTTATTGTCAAAAGTGAGTAGAGAACACGCGGAAAAAAATTGCCTTTTCTGGACTTTCTGGTCAGAGTCAGATATTCGTTTTAGGAGACATTTTTGGTTTAATACCGTATTCGTGGTCTTTTTCCTTTCTTCTGCGATATGTGGTTATGGGACACATGGAAGGGAGCATTAAATTTATCGCACTCGTCCTGACGGTGGCGGATTGGCACTGACGAGAAATTCTGAGAGAACGGGTGGTTTATTGAACCTCTGGGGGGTGCACGCGAACCCGCCACTGCAGAAAAAAAAAAAAAAAAAAAAAAAAAAAATCCAGGCGACGACGCCGACGTTTTGCTGTCCTCTCCCACGCATATTTTTTCAGGGCATTCATCGAGTTCCGATTTTTCATCCTGGCATTCATTCATAGGTTTCTTTTTGTTCCTTTTGTTCTTAATTCTTTTTGTTCCTCGCAATTTTTCGTTGTGCATTTGCCCCCGTTATCTGCTGCCATTGCCCTTTTTGAGGTGGACTATTTCAATGTAACATTTGTTGCCATTAAATTCCCGCACTGCGACCAAAGGGAATGCCGTGTTACCCCGGAAATGAGATCCGGCTTATATACGTTCTGTTTGTTGTTTCAAACGAAAATGGGGGGTATTACAGGTTTTATATTCAAGTGAAAAGAACACGAAAATGCTGTGCATTGGGGCCTCGATTGACGAACTCAATTAAAGTCGATTACCCTGAAATTATGTTAACCGAGTAATTCAAACAAGTGTGTAAACATGCTTTGAGTGGTAGACTGTTTCAAAACCTCGAAAGGATCATCAACTGAGTTGCGAGAAAATGTATAAATATTGTACTGGATTCATCAACTGTTGTGAATGCATGTTTATGTTCTTAATTGTGTTGAATATTCGATTGATTTGCTTGATTGATTAATAACAAGCTTCATTTTCCGGTTTTCAGCGATCTATCGATTTTTTTCAGAGAATTCCAGGTCTATTTTTTCGAACGTATTAATTCAAAACAGTGAAAAGATTTCACCAGTTATAGATTTTTTTTAAATATTTTGTTCTAACAACAGTACCTACATCGGATCTACTGCACTTAATGAAACAAAACAAAATTGCGTCACAACTTTGGACATTTGAGAAAAAAAATGACGACGGAGAAAATGCTTTTATTCGCGATACAGTACAATAATACCGACGGCCGCGTTAGTCGCAACAGATATTTTCGATATTCATGGTCGAAGTTCAATTGACACCCAGGGTATTATCCGAAGTGCTGTATACAGTCTGCTAACCGAGGCGGAACTTATTTTTCATCACGCGTCTCGTGCAAAAAAAAAAATTGCTATGGGAATGCGTTTGTTACCCTGAAGGGTAGGTATCTTTTTCCTGGCCTGTCCGTCAGATTTGGGAAATTTTACTTAGGCTTATAATTCGATATTTTCGGAACATCAAAGCTTTTATTCGGGGTGGTTTTCGGTAAAAAGGGGCTACATTTCATTGAATGAAAACGAGCTTATTTTTGGGGAAACACGGTACTTCCGGATCGCGTGCGTCTCATCCTTTTTACTGCGTTTCGGTGGCCTCTGTCATGGTTTTTTGTTTTTAAATTGAAAATGCGTCATGCTCGAAGTTGCGTGCGAAACTATATACGCATGTGACACGAAAAAAAACTAGTTTTAGGTTATTCTCTGAATCATGAATCGAGAATTTTCAAGCTTTTCTGCGCAATTCCTGGAATACCGGAAATGCTGAGTGTCCCGAGTTTTCATTTGGGTTTCTGGTCCATATGACAATTCCGCGAGGATTCAGAGGTCGGGTCAATGCTTTCAATTTTTTTTAAGTCGAATATCCCCGCAAATATGTTACAGAGCTGTTTGTTCATTTACCTTGTATTGGTTTGAGCCTTGGGTGATAGATTTTCCATCCTCTGGATCCCACGTCAAGGGACAATCGTGGAAAGTTGTTAATCCAAGGAATTTCGCCAATTTCCCTTTTTTACATTGGCAGTATTCTACGACGTTGATTCCTCGGCTGTTGGCTTGAACGTGAGCACATGCTGCTCCTCTTGGACAGGTTGGCAAGCTTTCCTAAATTTCATGAACGGAAATACGATTTTAAAAAGGCCATTGAAATCGCAGAAAAATCCCATAATAAATATCTCCGAATCAATTTGTTTTTTAATAGGCATCAAAAACTCATGTACACTATTTTATTAAAGAAAATTATACTACCTTTGCGAGAGAAGTACTTTTTAAATTGAAAAATCGAATATTTTAGTGATCTGACTTCGAAAATCATGGATTGACTAAATGAATATCTGACCCAAGAACGATCCTTGATTTTTTCGAAAAATTGCGTGAAAATGATTTCGCTTTTCAAAAGAACTGAGTTATTTTTATTTAAAAAATTTGTAACGCAATGTCTATTTTCGAGTCAAATTCTAGACGAAAGAATAATCCTTTGATTGAAAGACGCATTAATTTTTTGCCCTAATTCTCCTAATTTACAACGATTCTGTCTACTAACGATTTTCTCTGTACAACAACTTCTTTTTGGTTTCGTAGGCTTCTCTCCCCATGTTATAGGTGTTCTCTACAACGACATTTTCTCGTCCCGTGAATTTCGTTGTAGAGGGAGTTCACCAGTATTCACGCTAATTCTTAGTAATGAGTATGAAAAAAGCGCATTTATTACCTCCTCCTCGTCGCCGATGGCTGAAGCGACTTCGTTCGTGAGTACCAGTTCTTCGACTGAGTGGTGAGCAGGTTTTGTGAACTCACTACTGGACGCAAAAACTGCGGGCAAAGCAATCGCGAAAATGGCAACGAAGAACGACGCGATAGTCGATTTTGGAATTGCCGGATCAAACATCTTTTTGCCGCTTATGTCTTTGGCTCCCTGTTCTGTGTGACCCACGGATATGAGTTTATCATTGAACAGGATTGCATCACTTTTTCATTGCAAAAAATTCTTGCGCGATTAAAAGAATAAAATAAAAATCACTCGAAAAATGCCTCAAATTCAATATCTTGCTGAACTCGCGTTCATGTCTAGTGGTAACGTAGGTTTGAATTTAGAATTTTTTTTTATATTGTGAATGTTAAATAAAATTATTAAGGGACAATTTTCTACGCAGGAAAGCCTTGGGATCAGATTATGCTCTTCGGATTTTTTGAATGATCTTCTCTAAAAAAAAAAAAAAGTAAAAAGTGTAACAGCGACTTTTTTTTTTTTCAAGGAATACCGATCTATTTTGAAAAGCAGGACCTCGTCCCAAGAGTCTCGTTCGTTTTTTACCCTTATTGTCAGAAGTAAGTCGAGAACATTTCTGGACTTTCTGGTCTGAGTCAGATATTCGTTTTAGGACATATTTTTGGTTTAATACCGTATTCGTGGTCTTTTTCCTTTCTTCTGCGATATGTGGTTATGGGACACATGGAAGGGAGCATTAAATTTATCGCACTCGTCCTGACGGTGGCGGATTGGCACTGACGAGAAATTCTGAGAGAACGGGTGGTTTATTGAACCTCTGGGGGGTGCACGCGAACCCGCCACTGCAGCAAAAAGAAAAAAAGAAAAAGAAANAACAAAAAAAAAAAAAAAAAAAAAAAAAAAAAAAATCCAGGCGACGACGCCGACGTTTTGCTGTCCTCTCCCACGCATATTTTTTCAGGGCATTCATCGAGTTCCGATTTTTCATCCTGGCATTCATTCATATAATTCTTTTTGTTCCTCGCAATTTTTCGTTGTGCATTTGCCCCCGTTATCTGCTGCCATTGCCCTTTTTGAGGTGGACTTTTACAATGTAACATTTGTTGCCATTATATCCCCGCACTGCGACCAAAGGGAATGCCGAGCTACCCCGGAAATGAGATCCGGCTTATGTACGTTCTGTATGTTGTTTCAAACGAAAATGGGGGGTACTACAGGTTTTATACATATTCAAGTGAAAATAACACGAAAATGCTGTGCATTGGGGCCTCGATTGACGAACTCAATTAAAGTCGATTACCCTAAAATTATGTTGACCGAGTAATTCGAACAAGTATAAGCATGCTTTGAGTGGTAGACTGTTTCAAAACCTCGAAAGGATCATCAAGTGAGTTGCGAGAAAATGTATCAATATTGTACTGGATGCATCAACTGTTGTGAATGCATGTTTATGTTCTTAATTGTGTTGAATATTCGATTGATTTGCTTGATTGATTAATAACAAGCTTCATTTTCCGGTTTTCAGCGATCTATCGATTTTTTTCAGAGAATT